AGACTACATGGGAGTCCAGCGACATAGCCATTACGCTAACTGCTGGTCCCTCATTCACTGTTTTAACTTGAACAGACACATACACACACACACACACACACACACACACAAAGAGAGAAAGCAAGCCACCAGGTCCGTACTTGAACGGTGGTTTGTCATGTGGGAATGTCCAGCACCTTAACCACCATGCCACCTGCTGGTTCCGGTCCTTCTGATCTTTAGCATACATTAAGTTCATCCGTGATTATTTTTTGCTAAGTTTTTTTGTTGATGTGATGCAACCTACCTCTTAGATGCACCACCAGTATAAAGCTTGAGGGAGAAAGAACCTTTCCTCTTGGTTCTATGGCAAACTTGTTTGACAACTATAGTTGTTTCTCAGAGCTCTGTAGCCTTGCCACACTGTAGCTCTAATCAGGAAACTTCCTTCTTCCCTATTTACTTTGCAATTATTCTGTTTTAAGTTGCTCTATAGCAGTTATTTGGGTATCCTATTTTCCTTTGTTTACTTGTGTCAAGCTCAATGTTGTTTTGTGATGAGCACTGCTTTAAAACTGGTGGACTTTAGAAGAGACTTCAGCAAGCTTGCCCTAGGGTAGGGGCCATATGTCTCTGTTTTGTACTAATGCCACGTAACTGCTTTTTGGTCATGATAGTGGTAATGAATACATTCACGTAAGATGAAATATGCCTGTTAGTTAGGGGCAACCGAGGCTCAGTAGAGAATTTAGTATGATGCCTTCTCTCCCTTCCTCTTTGAGCTGTGAAGCTAATTGTAGCACAGCACTACTGCTCCTGACTGTGTGGTACTGCTGTCTCCGAGAGGAGGCAGGCACTTTTTTCTTAGTGCATTCCTTGGTAGGTCAAGGGGGGCTAGGACTTTAGAATTAGTATTCAGACTCACAGATCCTATGTATGTGATATTTTGTAAAGGGTTATTTATGATCCCAATACCAGGGCAAAGAAAGCTATTTTAGTTTTGTCCATATTTCCTAAGGAGGGTAAGGCCATGGCAGTATTGGCCAAATTAATTATAAAGCTGAACAAGTTAATTATAATAATTAAGTTAAGGATTTTCATATAAGTCAAAAAACTAAATTGTTCTTACACACATTTCCAGTTTTTTTACAGTTGGACCAGTCATTATTAAAACGTTTTATTTTTACTATTGTATGATATAATTCCACATTGAAATATACTTATTTGCCATTAAATAGAACTTGGAGTTAAAAGATCTGGTTTTATGGTCCATCTTTACTAATCATTTGCAGTTGATCTCTTTAAAGGTCCTGGAATCTTTGAGCCTCAGTTACCTCACTTGTAAACTGGAAAATACCTATCTCACAGGGTTGTTGTGAGGATTCCGTGAGATCATGTATGTGGAAAGGACTTTGTCAATCATAAAGTACCACAACAAATATTTGTTGTTGCTCTATCTGAGATGTCTTAATTTTTTCCCTTCAGAAGTAGTCTAATAAACCTCCAGGTCTTTTCTGCTAGAGTATTTTAGTTGGTAAAACCTTGAATAAACAGTTTATTGCAATATTTAAAAAATAACAAAATAAATTGACACTTAAGGGGCCAGCAGATGGCATAGCAGTTACATTGCTGGACTCCCACATGTCTGACCACAGTTCGAATTCCAGACCCAGTGGCTTGAAGTTCACACTGGGTGCATGTACATGCATGCCCAAAATCCTGAGAGGAGAATGGAGAAGGGATTGCCATATGGCCTTCTCTCCTGAGGGGTGATTTCTTGTTTTCTGTCCCTCTCTGTCTCTCCAGCGAGTTGCACATGCCCTAAAGCAAAAATCTCTCTTTAAAAAAATCCATGTGGTTAAAAAGTTATTATTATTTTTTTTTTGGAGAGGTTTTTGCAATAGGGCACGTGCACTCGCCAGAAAGAGAGAGAGAGACGGAGACAGAAAGTGCGAAATCACCCCCCCCCCGAGGTGGGATGGCCAAGCCGAAATCCCACCTCCCCCATTCTC